ATGCCCAGAGACAGTGTGGTTACAACATGTGTTTCTAACTCTGCTGCCCACTAAGTCCCTTGAGGAAAGGCAAGGAGACATTAAGCGGGGGTGAAATGAAAAGAGGCGGGACAAAGGTGCTGACGTCGTGACAGGCGTGCACGGGGCTTAGAAGGGATGCAGCGAGCCCAGGGTCTGACCCCGAGCTGATGAGCAGCAACCGGTATGAGCCTCAGGCACAGTTTTAGATTTCTAGTAGCCACGGTCAAAAACGTAGACAAACAAGATACCTGAATCAAAATGGTAGTTAACTCAATTGACCCCCAAGACTGCCATTTTATCACGTAATCAATACTGAGAGTTACAGAGGCATTCTGCAAGTACCCCCTCCACCCGCCACATACCAAGTCTTTGGAATCCAGGGTGCATGTTCCACTTTCAGCCCATTTCCACTGCTTACTTACCATGTGGCGTGAGTTTGAGAATCCAGGTCTAAGAGAGGCAGCTGAAGGGGGTACACTAAAGGGGGAGTGCCCTCGTCCACAGAGAACGGGCTCCACCCTCTAAGCCTGACTCTCACCTGCTCTCCCACATCTACCTGTTTTACTTTACTGACGCTGCAACACTCCCGGCAGCCTTCACTGGGCAGGTGATGGAGCACAGCTGCCTTGATGCTGTAGACCCCACTGTCAGGTGGTCCAGAGGGTCCCTGTATCACCTCTTTCACTGGGGTCCTTCTCCACCGGGGTGCTCACCACAGTCACCGCAGAAGTGGATGCATCACTCCGAGGCTGCCTTTGGTACCCAATGCCAGACAGCCTGGGCTGCTCTAGGCACACGGGAAAGGGGACCCATGCCACTCTGGGCCTTGAGGGGCTAGGGATGGCCCCACATACCAACAATTGAGGCCAGCTCCAGGTGGCTGTATCTGAAAAGTGGCTCCTGATACTGCCCTCCGAGAAGTCATCACACCTCCCTTTGTGAGTGCCCAGCTGGGCCACCACAGCTGCATCACCGCATCGTTCAGATCTGGGCCATGTCCACCTCCTCCATTAGACGCAGCTCAGGGCTGGCTCAGCAGCGCACAGAGAACCAGCCTGAACTGGACAGGATCCTGAGACTCCTGGTGAATCTCGCTGTGCTTACTTCACTCTGAATAGCTCCTAGTCCCTTGCACCACACTCAAACTCACTGCCACGGGGTCACCGCGGACTTATAGCAACCCTATGGAAAGGGATGAAACTGCACCCGTGGGTTTCCAAAACGATAATTCTCTACGAGAGTGGAAAGCGTCTTCTTTCTCCCTCAGAGTAGCTGGTGGTTTCAAAGAGGTGACCTTGCAGTTAGCACTCTACCAGGTAACACTACACCCCCAGGGCTCCTTAAGCCCCCACAAAACAAGCCCATTGCCATCGGGTCCATGCTGACTCTCGGTGACCCGCCTAGGGCTTCTGAAGTTGTTCTGTCTTCATCTGCCACTCTTACTGAGAACACCCAGC